ACTGGTTGGTTAGGAAGTTGAGTGTGCGACACACCCACGCTTTTGCCGCTGGAGCAAATGCAAAACATTTTGCCAATACATGAGACTGTTCGGGTGTGACGAGAAATTGTTGGTGTTGGAGCTTCGTCACCGAACCAGATTCCGTGCCTCCCTGGTTCGGATTCAAACTTGCGATTTGACTTTAGTTCGCACCCCTCGCTTCACCCCTCGTCAAACCATCCACCTCGTTAACCAATCACAGGCGAGCTCCCCTCACCAACTTCCAGCCAATTTTCTTACTTGAGATCCTGGCTTTAAGTGGTTGTCTCGTGGCGACGCCATCTCCTGTCTGATCGTTGTGTTGCCGACCGCCATCGACTTGCTGTAAGCAAGACAAAGGCATGTACCACGTCGTGACGAGCTTCAAATTTCACCTTTTCTTGTTCTTCCTTGCCAGCCTTCTGAATGAGCTCAACGAGCTCAATAAGAAGTTTCAAAGGCGAGTCAAGGTGATTCTGTCAAATGCTTTTGTTTTAATGAACCTTTGACTAACCCACTCATTGTTAACATTCTTGCAGGTGGATGGTTAAAAAAACCTACGGGAAGCTGAAGGCGCGTTAAATCGGTCACGGAGTCAACTTCGCCGAGGACAGCGAGCATCTCAGCTCGTTTCTCGAGCATCACATTCTCCCAGTGCATCGCCTTGCTATAGTGGAGGGGATGGACGGAGAGGGCAACACCGTGACGCACCGCTTCAAGCTGCACGAGCTGCCACTGGATGGCCAAGAGTCCAGCAATGATTTGGAATACTGCGCGACCCTTGCATCTTTGTTTGCGCCGGAAGTCATCAACATGCTGCTTTTCAGGATGCGCGGCTTGAACTCCCTTGATGGGGCCAAGCCATTTCTGCCCGATGCCTACCAAGATGGCGTGGCTAAGCGCGAGCGCGTCTGTGCAGCGTGGTTCAGCTCATTGCACAAGCTCTTCAACGCTGAAGAATGCGCTATGCCAGGTAAGGATAGGTGAAGCTCTTTCTGAACAATGGTTGTTATTGTCAATATGAAGAGGTGACTGGATATGTAAACGTTGGTGCTAACTTGGTGTCTTGTTTGTACCTGTTAGGTGTTAACTAGAAGAAGGTGGAGGGAGTTTCCGTGCTTCACCCGCATGATGCAGGCATAGTACAAGGACCAGACGTTTCATGCCTGCTTGAAGAACATGCTGCGGAGCAGGGATTGGGAGCCCTCGTACTCGAACCTCGTGCGCCTTTGGGTGGCGGTCGCTGTGCTCCCGCTCAACACTGTGGAGTGTGAGCGCGGTTTCAGCCGCCAAAACACCATCAAGTCGTGGACTTGTAGCAACCTCTGCAACGCCAGGCTCGGGGACCTGATGTGCATTTTCTTGCTTGACTACGATCCGGACTGGGATGATGTCGTGCAGCTGTGGCGCGGAGCAAAGAAGCGTCGCCCAACAAGAGAAGTGAGTGGTTTGCCCAAGAACGGCAAGCGCAAGGCGACGGCAGAGGCCGATGATCTAGCACCCAAGGCAGCAGCTGAAGAGGAGCCGGCTGATCCCGAAGAGAGGCGTAGGAAGAAGAAGGCCAAGGCCAAAGTAGTGGTTAGTGACGGTGAGGACGTCGATGGAGTAGATGCCTGTGCAGCCGTGCAACTTAATAGTGAGTTGAACTCAGAGTAGTGCAAGATGGCATCGCTAGAGTACCACTTGTCTGTAATGGCTCAATTACTTATATTAGTCAGTGATGAGAGCTAGGCTTAGGGCATGTTCCTACACTCTTATCAGGCAAACCTCTTGTCAGGCTTACCTCTTGTCAGGCTTGCCTGGTAAAATAGGCGAATGTTTTCGGGTTTAGGGAAATTTCAGTGTGTTTTGACGCGAGCCTGATAAGAGGTTGGCCTGATAAGAGGTTGGCCTGATAAGGCCGTGGGAACATGCCCTTAGGTGTTGTAAATGTCTGATGTAACAGACAAGCACTTAGAAAAAATCTGATGAATCAGACGGGTCCTGAGGGCGCTCTAATGCATTGGGGGGTTCAAGCACTAGCGAGGATTGCACGGCGCAAGATTGCAAAAGTGAGCTAATAAAGTACTGTTGGTAACAAAATTTGGTCATAAAAACACTTAGACCAAAATGGGGCCTCTCTCAAATCCATGCGCTGCCTAGCTATACTTTGCTCGTTTAACTAGATCAGAGTGAAAGAAAAAAAAAAAGAATAAAGCATCCCCTTCCAGACTCAAAGCCTCCTAAATGTTATCCTTGGGAAATCGCAATGCATGCAATGACAAATACAAATATAATATTATAGGCAGGTATGGTGACAAACATGGCAAAATCGGAGACCTAACTACAAGGCGCACTGCCACAGAGTGGCCATGCTGGTCAGTCCATGTGATTTTTCCAAACCTAAATGCAGGCAAAGGCAAGAACCTAATGATTGCGACCCTAAACACCCGAGATTTTCCGGGACGAATGGTCACCTTCTTCAGCCAAACTCTCACGATAAAGCCCGGTGGAGTGACCACCTTCGCTCTATAGGTAGATTGCAAGTTGTAGACGTTTTTCACTTGCCGGTACACTACCGTAACGCCATGCAGCCGAGTTACAGCTATCGATGCGCGGTTGAGGTTCCAAGAGAGAACTGGACGTGCCTTTCCCATGCGTCGAAATCGCTTCTTCGTTCTTATCGGGTCCCTCATCATGAGGAAATTCACAAAGTGCTTGTGCGCCGCATGAAAAGTGAGCCCAAGGTCCAAGACGCGTGTGGGATCCACGTGCCCTCCTCCATAGTCCCACGCGTTCGCTTTCTTTCCATTTGCCCGTTGAATCGGCTGCCCATTCTTGTTCCTCGTGTATGCCGTCGTAGTTATCGCAGACATCACCTGCGCGGGAGACCAGCTCGGCTTGTTCTGCACGATCAGCGCCATGATCCCCGCCAATTGCGGTGTCGACATTGACGTCCCGGACCAGTAGTTGAAGTTCGGCGCATCGGTCGCAGCAGTATCGACCGATTCACCCGAACCTGCGGACCATAGTTGGTACCCCGGCCCAACGACGTCGGGTTTAAGAATGTCGTTGGTGGGGAAGTCGCGGATGAGCAGCGCGGGAGGGTAGAATGGGCTTCGGGGGGGGCCGGTGGAGGAGAAGTAAGCGAGCTGGGGGGCGTTGGAGGAGTAGGAGGTGGTGAAAGCTGACAGCGTGGCTGTGGGGCTGCATTGACATGAAGGGGAGGAGGAAGGGAGAAGGGGGATGGTGAAAGGTGCAAGGGAATGAAAAGTAGGAGGTGGTTTGGGGGGGAGTGGATGAGTGGGAAAAAAATACAGGGAAGAGATGAGGCTAGGGAGGGGAGAAGAGAAGAAGGACGAGAGGAAGGGAGAGTAGAGGGACACGAAAAACGGAGAGTAGAGGGACGGGAGGAGGAAAAAGAGGGCGGAATAGGGGAAGGAAGAGTGGAGGGAGAATTGCTAATTTAGGTATCCGATCAGCATCAACTTTTTGTTTTTTACTGAGTTGGAGTGCAGGGAAGTGAGGAATGAGGGGAAGGAAGCGAGGAGGGAAAAGAGGAGGGATGAGAGGAAGGAAGAGAGGAGGAAGAGTTGAGGAGAGGGGGGGAGAGAGGTGCTTGATGGGGATAGAGGAGAACCAATAAAGAAAAGGCCACACGCTGCAAGTGTTTGATAGCCAAGGGAGAAAGAAAACAAGGGACTAGAAGATTCTTGCCTGGTTGCAGTTTTTATGTATCTCTTAACTGCCACCCCTTGCGAATACTTCAAGAAGATGCTGGGGACCTTAGAGAAGGGCACTTCTTCCATATCGTCTTCCTCTGAATGGCTTATCGCCAGTATTGCAGCTGCCCCGAGATGGTCCGTCTCATGAACCAATAAGGTAGGAGTCTTTACCCACACGTACTCTCCCACGGTGCAGACAAGGAACTTGCCAGCCACTTTAGTTGGATCCATGTAACGATCACAGTAGGGTTCCTGGTGGAGGGAAGGGATTTTTGAGTCGACTAAGAGGTTTGTTCCATTTTAACTCTCCCACGGTGCAGGCAAGGAACGTGCGAGCCACTTTAGTTGGATCCACGTACTGATCTCAAAGGGTTCCTGGTGGAGGGAAGGGAGGCGGAGAGAGGAAAGTGACTCTTGACTCCACTCGAAAGCTGCTTGATTCAACTCTCATTTTTGACAGGGGGTATCATGGCCAAGGTGGGCTTTAAGAAGAAATCACCCCACGGCGACCATTGACGTGGCTTTGTCCAGCCAGGCATATGGGTTGGATGCATGGGTTGGATGCATGGGTTGGATGCATGGGTTGGATGCATGGGTTGGATGCATGGGTTGGATGCATGGGTTGGATGCATGGGTTGGATGCATGGGTTGGATGCATGGGTTGGATGCATGGGTTGGATGCATGGGTTGGATGCATGGGTTGGATGCATGGGTTGGATGCATGGGTTGGATGCATGGGTTGGATGCATGGGTTGAATGCATGGGTTGGATGCATGGGTTGGATGCATGGGTTGGATGCATGGGTTGGATGCATGGGTTGGATGCATGGGTTGGATGCATGGGTTGGATGCATGGGTTGGATGCATGGGTTGGATGCATGGGTTGGATGCATGGGTTGGATGCATGGGTTGGATGCATGGGTTGGATGCATGGGTTGGATGCATGGGTTGGATGCATGGGTTGGATGCATGGGTTGGATGCATGGGCTGGATGCATGGGATGGATGCATGGGTTGGATGCATGGGTTGGATGCATGGGCTGGATGCATGGGTTGGATGCCTGCCTTGGCCCTGTCTCCCCTGAGACTTACTTTATATCCTCCTCACCAACCCTACACCCCGCCAAAAGACACAGCAGATTGAGCCTTATAGATTGTAAAGCGACACCCCACAAGACAAAAGTACTTCAAATCTACCTCACTCGCCCTACCCCCCGCCAAAAGAAACAGCAAACTGAACCATAAAGATCCGGGCAAAGACACCCCATAAAACCCCAATCTCATACAATAGTCGTGTCGAGCACAAGGGGCAGATCTGACGCCGTAGCAGTTGTGCCACCAAGACCGCGCCCTGTGAAGGTGGATCCATCGCCCAGGGTGAGCACAGCCTTGTACTCCCGCCCCATGGTGCTGCGGTGGGGAGCAGTGGGGAGCCGTGGTGGGCGGTGGGGTGAGAAGGGAGGTGGAAAGGAAAGTGGTTCCATCGCCCAGCCCAGGGTGAGCACAGCCTTGCACTCCCTCCCCATGGTGCTGCGGTGAGGAGCAGGAATGTTGGGGAGAAGGGAGAGTAAGTGTGGGGTTGAGAGTGTGTTGGTCCCATCCCACTCGATCTGCAGACTCGCCCTTGTGAAGGTTTTTCCATCACCCAGGGTGAGCACAGCATGTACTCCTTTCCACCCCATGAGATGGGGAACAGCGGGGGTTTGGGGGGATTGGGGGGTGTGTGGCCTGTAGGTCGACTGGAAAGTAACCTGATGCGGCATCACTCAGGGCAGAGCCCATAATCAATCTCCCTCCTTAAAAGTCACCTGCAATGGGGTGGCCTTGGGTTGGGTGAGTATATACTTGTGTGATGAGTTGACTTTTGTGTTCAGCTGCGAGTCACCTGCTGGGGCGTCACTCCCCAATAGAGCCCATAACTCCTTCTTCCTCCCTGGAATTCACTTGTTTTACTGCCGTGGCGTGGCATTGAGTAGGGTGTGCTCATGTTGAGTCGACTAAAAATCAGCTTGTTTTACTGCCATGGCATGGCCTTGGGTTGGGTGAGCCCATGTTGACTTTGAGTCGGCCCAAGATTCTACTCGTTTTAGTGCCATGGCATGGCATGGCCTTGGGTTGGGTGAGCCCATCCCGGCACTCCCTCCTGATTGTGCCGCAGTGGGAATGATAGGGATTTGATTGCAGTGTGAGGAGGAGGGAGACGGAGATTGGGTCTGAAAAATGAGTGTTGCACGAGATACTTCTGATATATACATATATATATATATATCTAAGCTCCCATGGGGCTGAAAGGAGTGTATTGCTAGGAGGATGGTTGTGGGGACGGGAGGGGGAAGGAGGGGAAGGAGGGTGGAAACCTGAGAATCTCCCATGGCATATCAGACTTGCTGCTGGCGTTAAGAGGACACTTGATCGTTATAATCATACTTTCTACCACCCACCTTCCTCCCCCGTCCCACCGGAGTTCTAGCCAATTTTGCACCTTACTACCACTGTTTCACAAAAGGTAGAGACATTCCCAAGGGCGTCTCGAATAGCCGGCCTTTATTCCTTGCCATACTCGCATCCTGTATAAGCAATTTCTACCCTCCCCCTCCCCCCTCCCACCTCCTCCCCCCTTCAACTATAACTGCACCTTGCTCCCACTGTTAGGAAAAAAGGAGAGGCATTCCTAAGGGAGCCTCACATGTTTCTGGGATTTAGCCAGCCTTTCTTCTTCGCTATACTCACGTCCCTTGTAATCACTCACTATCCCTCCCCTCCCACTCCAGCCGTACCTTACTCCCACTGTGAATAAAAAGGGAGGTGCACTTGAAAAAGTGATCCACATGCTCTTCTTCCCACCCCCCAACGCCTCACCTCTCACCCTGCCTCTTCCCCCAAGTCACCTCTAGCCTTACCTTGCTCCCACTGTGAGGTAGAAGGGAGAGGCATTAGAGATTGTGCCCCACATGCTCCAAGGGTTGGGTCGGCCGTCGTTGCCGGCTGCAAAGGCCGTGACCACTCCAGCCTGCAAGTTGGACACGTGAGAATGGGAAGGGTGAGAATGAGAGGGTGAGAATGAGAGGGTGAGAAGGAGAGGGTTAGAATGGGAGGGTGAGAACGGAAGGCGAGTAATGAGAGGGTTAGAATGGGAGGGTGAGAATGAGAGGGCTGGAATAGGAGGTCGAGAATATAGGGTTAGAAGGAGAGGGTGAGAATGAGAGGGTTAAAATGGGAGGCATGAGAGCATCGCAAATGCCTGCTGCTCGTGGCCTTTCCCTCGTTGCCTGCTGAAAAGGCTTTCAAGGCTGCCATACTACCCTGAATGTCCCAATTTCAGCCCTTGCAAGCAGGCTGAAAAGGCTGCCATCGCTGTTATGTGACCCAATGCTCCCCCACCTTAAGTGCTTGCAAGTAGGGCATGTCCTGGAAATACCGCGCCATGCCCCCCCATGAGCACGAGATGATGTCCACACCATCAGCTACCGCCTTGTTCGCAGCAGCAACAAGGTCAGACATCACCCCCAGCCCTTCGTAATCTTCGGTGCTCCACAGCCCCTTGTATATTGCCAGCCTGGCTCGCGGAGCCATGCCCGAGGCTGTGCCGAAGGTCCGGCCACCTTTTGTGACGTCCACACCTGCGTTTCCAGCAGCCGCTCTGAAGGGGAAGGGAGGAGGGAAGGGGAGTAGGTAGGTGTGGAATTTCTGTAACACTCATGGCATGCCCGTTGCTGTGCCATTGGGAAGGCCGTTAGTCCGGCCTCCCATTGTCACATCACTCACACCAAGCAGCACTCGCACATGGAAATACTCACACCAAGCAGCACTCGCACATGGAAATACTCACACCAAGCAGCACTCGCACTAGAAAATACTCACACCCAAGCAGCATTCAAAAAAAAAAAAAAAAAAAAAAAACAACAACAAACAAACCCCGCATGCCCTGCATATCCCGCATGTCCTACATCTCTCGCTATCCCGCATAACCTACATATCTTGCATGTCTATGACAGGGAAAGCAGACCATATCGCACTCACCCCGCACACCATGTGCCGTGCTGGTCCATGTCCCGTGGCGACCGGTAATCCAATCTGCTGTCCACCCTGCCATACTCCCGCTCCATGCCTTTCAGGAAGAACCTCGCCCCAACCACCTTGCCGTTGCACGCCGTGAAGTCCTTTGTTTTGGTGCACACGCCTCTCCAGCGCACGGGCGCAGTGGAGTAAGGAGCGCCGTTTGGGTCCTAGAGGAAGAGCAGGAGAGGAGGGGGCGTTAAGGAGGAGAGGAGGGGACGTTAAAGAGGAAAGGACGGGAAGTTGTCTATTTGGAGCACACGCCTCTCCAGCGCAATGGAGTGGCAGAGTACGGTGCTCCATTTGGGTCCTGGAGGATTGTGGGGGGATTCGACAATATTGGAGATGTCGAGGAGGAGAGAAATGGGTAGCAAGGATGAGAGGAATGGGGCGTGAGAAGGGAGAGGAAAGGGTGGTCAAAGAAAAGAGATGGGGTGGTTATACATCTTGGTACACATGTGCCTCTAGAGCACCAGGAATAAGTCACGTCAGACTACGGTACACCATTTGGGTCCTTACATGGTAAGGGGACATGGAGAGAAGGTGATGTCATAAGAGAAGGAGAAAAGAGGGGCGTGACATAAGGGAGGATGAGAAAGACGTGGGAGGGGAGAGGATGAGGAGCGGTGACGACACACGAAAAAGATCGGCGAAGGATACAAGAGGTTGGGATTTGTGAGCAATACCCAACCGACAAAACACCTTATACACCAAACCAGGACATAATAAGCAAAAGTACAAAAGTATGCATTGCAATCACTCCAATGATCACACCACAATCATTAGTAGAGCTACTAAAGAAAGGACGTTCTGGCTTACAGGGTTGGAGAAGGAAGGGTGTTCGGGCCAGATCCCCGAGTCGATCACCCCAATGATCACTCCCTCCCCTGCGTTGCTCTGCCCGCCATTCGCCGGCCACAGGCTCGAGTCGAGCTTGAGAAACTCAGGGGAGTGCACCGATGTTACTCGTACTATCTGATCTCTCTCCACCTCTGCGACTGCAGGGTGCCTCTTGAGCCGCCTTGCCTCTGCAACGGTGAGCTGCGCTGCAAAGCTGTTCGTCAGATACGTGTAACTGAGGGGTGGAAGGGGGAAGGGGAAGAAGGGGTGGGGAGTGGGCTGGCGGGAAGCAGGCGGCAGAAGCGGGGGTGAATGAGGCATGACCAATGGCTCGAGTCCAGCTCGAGGAACTCAAGCTTGGAATCCCGAAGCACAGAGGTCACTCGCACTGCCGGATCGCCCTCCATTTCTGCAACTGCTGGACGTCACTTGAATCGCCTTGCCTCAGCTTGAGCGGCCTCAGTCAAGGATGAGTTTCCCCAAGCACAGAGTTCACTCTCTTCCTCTCCATGTCAGCCACTGCTCGCCCCAGCAGGGATTGGCTGAGGTGTAGAGTTGCTCGGCAAGTACGAGAACGGTGGGGTTGCAAGAATCATGGTGGCTGGGCAGAAGCAAAAAGGTTTATTTTAGGCGGGAGTTGGGTTGCAACTAATGAGGTGGCTTATTATTGATAGACTTATTAACTGGATAGAACTATAAGCAGCCTCCGAGCAGGTCAACATACCCCCTTCCACCTGACTAATCCCATCGCTCCACTCTCTCCCCCAACCCACCTTTGGGAAAATGGTTGGGCCTTGAGAAACGCTTGAGTGGACCAATTTCCTCTTCACACCTCTGAAAACCGAATAGCCCCACCCCCCTCTCCAACCCACCCACACCACCCCCATCCCCCCTCTCCTCTATCCCTTCCTCCTCACCTGTGGAAAATGGCTGAGGAAGGGATTTTGAGCGACTGCAGTAGGCTGCGGTGAGAAGCTTCCAGGAAGCGGGTGAAGGCCTGGACGTGCGGTAACCGCACGTCGGGTCGCATGAGTCGGCCCCACGGCGTTGCGCGCATGATGCGCGCGGCACGTGCACTTAGATTCTGCACCGTCAGCACTGCTGACGTGGCTCCGCTTGCCCTTGGTGCCTTATCTCCGGCTGGTGCTGCTGTTGATGATGCTGACGATGATGGAGATGATGATTCCGATGCTGACGTGGCACCTCCCTTTCCAGGTGGCATTCCATGAACGGTGCTGACAGTAGCGTAAAAAGCAGAAGTGTAAACGGAGGAATTCTGAGATGGCTCTGAGACAGAAGCAGCGGCAGAAGCAGCAGCAGAACCTGCACCCCCATCAGCTGCTCCTGCTGCTTCCTCTGCTGCTTCCTCTGCTGCTGCGGCCACTGCAGCAGCGGCAACGCGGGCCAGCAGGCACCGGCCCACAGACCGCGATTGCATCTTTCTCAGCCGCTGACCCACCCTCTCCACCAGCACATCCAGCCCAGTTCTTGCAAACGGCAGTGCGCTGACCTTCACTGCTGCTCCTCTTCCTCCGCCTCCGCCCCCCCAACCTCGTACCGCTGCTACCCCTTCAGACCCCTCCGCACCTGCTGCTGCTCCTTCTCCTCCTATTCCTGCCAACTCCATTGCTGCCTCTGCAGCAGCCGCAGCAGCAAACTGAATATCTGCATCAAAGCTGCCCTCACCTGATTCTGACCCTCTCAGCTTCACCTCTGATTCTGCCGCTGCCACTGTTGCTCCTGCCCTTGCCTCTGCTGCTTCTCCTGCTGCTTCTGGTGCTGATCCTTCAGCTGATCCTGGTGCATTGCCATTGCAACCGACTCCACCAACGCTCCCATTGTCATCACCATTAGCATCTGCTGATGCTCCTGGTGCTGCTGTGGCTGCAGCTGATCCTGCTGCTGCTGATCCTTGTGCCGTGCCATTGCCTCCGACTCCACAGATGCCCGCATTGCCATCACCATTAGCATCGCCATCCTCCCCATAATCCTCATCATCCACGTCATCCACGTCTTCTTCGTCCTCACACTCGTCCTCCTCATTGTCTACAGTTGCTGTGGCCCGCAGCCCGTTGACTCCCCCGCGGTACGACAGTACGGATGGCACCGAGGATAGATGCACGATGTACTGCTTCGTGTTGGGCCTTTCGGCTGTTGAAGAGAGGTGGGGCGGAGGAGGGAGAGAAAAGCAGGTAGGAAAGAGCAAGGAGTTAGCAGTCTGAGCTCTGATGGCACCGATGACAAACGCACGATGTATTGCTTCGTGTTGGGCCTTCCAGATGCTGGACTCAAGGAGTAGAAACGGGAGGGTTTCAGAAGAAAGAGGTGGAGGGGGAGAGGGGAGGAAAGGGGGGGGGGGGGGGGTTGGAGGGGGGGATAGGTTCAACTTGAACGCGGACTTGGAGTATCTTGCACTACGACCTACTTGTGCATGGACAGCAGAGTAGGCCATGGTGTTTAGAATGTTCTCAACACCTGAGGACTCACATGATATGGACAGCAGAGCAAGTCACAGTGTTTGGGGAGCTCTCAAAACTTGAGTGCTCGCATCTCATAACATGGACAGCAGAACATGTCACAGTCTTCTGGAGAGCTCTCATAACTTGAGTACGCACATGACATGATGATGATGGACTGCAAAGCACCACTGACCCTATAGCTGCCCGGACGAACCCTTGTGATTACCTGGTTGTGCCACGTGATGCCCCGCAGAGCACGGCCGCATGGTCATCATGATCATAACTCTCAGGAGAGCGACTAGTATCATGGCCGTCGCGGCGCGAGGCGGAAGCCATGATAAACAGCCGAGTTTACTACTACTTGATCTGCGACTCATCATCATGGTCTCCATAGTAGTACACCTGTGGTGTGACAGGAGGCTTGGATCTGGAATTTAGTTTTTGTGGGGAAAAGCCAGCCAAGGTTGACTAATATTGCAAAGGCAGGGCAATGATCAAGCACAATCAATCGCATGCTCTCACTTCACATCCCCATCTCTTATGCTACTTTGATAGATGATCTACTGACTCGAAACTGTATGAGAGGACTCCTCTATGCTCTTTGGAAGAGAAGGGTAATAATCCGCACTCCACTATGCTTGCGTGTTGTTACTTTTCTTCACTGGTCGTCGGGCTCTCACTCAGTCGTTGGACGTGACTCTCCTTCCCCCACTGGAGAGTCGTCTCGTTTGAAAAGAGACAGCCAGGTCGACCTACATGATTTTGCTCACCGATCGGTGCCTCCCCGGACGTGCCTCCGCTGGAACGTCTGTTTTCTCTTTCTTCCTGGCGTGATTCATAGGTTGTTGGCAGATCTTCGTCTGCAGTTCAGACTTTAGCGTTGTCCTATCCTCACGAGGCTTTCGAGTGTCAACAGTTCCCCCTACCTCACAGGTCTTGGCTTCGTTCAAATAGTAATTACTACTAGCAGTAGCACTGTATATCGTGCTGTGCATGGGTGATGCAGCTTTGGTGGGGTTAGGTCTAAACATTTCAAACCGCCTCTCGATGGTGCGGTGCGTCAGGGAGGTAGGAATCTGGCAAAACGTTCGTATGAAGTCGTGTTTGACCGTGACCAATCATGAATCGCGGTCGCTTGCCCTGCTGGCATTCGTCCCACTCGAGACCTCAGGGATGACAATAGTTGACGCGGGAAGACTTCCCTATACTCACCTCGTGGTTGACAGGATATTCTTAAAAAAACAACAGTATTTATATTTTAGTTAAAGAAAGTATGAATAATCAAGGAAATTAATATTTTCATCCAGCTGCCATGCCATAATTCTCCTGCCATGTAGTCTAATAGGCATCACTATTATATTTTCTTGCACCAGTAACCAGAGAGACCACCTTGACTGCTTGAGAACTTCAACCAGCGGGGCCTGAAATCCCCACCAATTCTAGACTTGGTAATGGTCCTCGCTCTCATACATTTTTTTCCTGTTTTTTCGGAGAAATCATACGATTTTTTTATTATTAATCTAATTTGTAAGAAATGAATTTCTATTATATCTGATTGATCAGATATCCAATTAAGGTTTAGATGGATCGGAAGTGTTTTTCCCATTACATATGATATTCCATACTCTTGTATCCGTATTGACTGAAACCGAAACTTACAGGCTGCGTCGTGATTGGCGGCTCACTTACGGGAATTGCGTCAATCACGGTCACTGTAAATCTTCGCGCGTGGTTGACACGACGCCGCGCATGAGCGCGGGAACAGCGGTCAAGTGCTGGCGGGCTGAGTCAGATTCGACCCAATGTGCCCAATTTGAGATGAATCTGCAGCAGTATTTCTTGCTATTTGGCAGTTTAGAACAGCAGTGAGGAGACTGGATGGCTGTGAGCCTACGAACCGCACCGACGATGCACCCACCCACATCACGGTGGATGAGGGTGGTTATCGGGCACAGCGGTGCGTGCAGGACGTTGCATGCACCGCATCTTCTTGATAATGGTCGTATTGGTGACCCAACTACTGCATCAACCAGCCTCGTAGCCGTAGTTTCTGCGTTTTTATTCCAGCTGCACCCTCCATCCTCTCAGGGCCCTTTCGCCATGGATGTTGGGGCCCGTCGTCCGCCCTCTCCCAATTCACCTCGACGCCCACCACCCCTAACGGGCTTAGAATTTATGAGAGGCAAGCCACCTCCCACTGCCCTGCCTCCGCACGCTGCCCTGCCGCACGCGCGCTACCCTGCATTGCCGCTGCGCACTGCCTTGCTGCCGCGCCGTGCTGCCTACTACCGCGCAACGCCACGCTACCGCTCTGTCTGCTGCCGAGCCACTCACCTACTGCAGTGCTGTTCGTTCTCCCACTGCGCCCCGAATTGCCGCTGGTGCCTAGGTCTGCAGCTACTTCCTAGTACTGTAGCTTGACCTAGTTCCTGTCATGGCCACTATCACTGTCCTAGCGGTTGACGCAGACGGGCGCCCTCTCGAGTTTGAGTTGTGGCTAGAGCGACTGCACCTTTATTTCCAGCGTTTCATTCTGGATGGTGTCTCCCTGTTCGAGCACACGTCGGGGTCCCTTCAGGCCCCCAAGACTCCAACTGAGCCTGCTGCTAACGGTGGGGAGGAAGTGCAGCGGCGGTACCGAGCGGACCGCATTGCCTGCACACGGTCTCAGGTGCAGTTCCTGCGGAGGCTTTGCACACCTTCACACTGGACTCAGGCGCGTCTCGCTGCTTCTTCCGCGACTGCACCACAGTCACACCGCTCACAGCACATGTCCCTGTCACCCTGGCCGACCCCTCCTCTGGCCCAGTCGTTGCACACGGCTCCACTGTTTTCCCGTGTCCGACAGCCCCCTCTGGATCCCTCACAGTTCTCCACCTCCCCTAACTTGGTGAGTATGTTTGTCCTCTTCGATATGTTGGTCACTACCACCACTCCTGGGGGCGAACTCGTGGCGATCTGTACGAACACAGTGACTTGCGACCACCTCGCCACGTTCACTCAGAGGCCTAAGTCTGGCTTGTACACACTGCACACTGAGTCTGCAAAGGTGGCCGCGTCCAGTCAGATAGCTTCGTCTTGCTCGTGTCGGTTGCTCACGCACACGTCTCTCCTCTGGCACCACCATCTTGGTCACCCCTCCCTGTGGCGCCTCCGCGGCATGCACTTGCGTCTCCTTGTCTCTGGACTCCCCAGGTCCCTGCCCCCGCTCCCGCGGTCGCTTGCGCCGCCGTGCACTCCCTGCGTCGAGGGGCGGAAGCGCGCCACTCCTCACTCCTCGTTTCCTCCGACCACTGCTCCTCTGCAGACGTTGCACATGGACGTGTGGGGCCCCGCCACCGTCTCTGGGCCGCACCGGGAGCGCTACTTTCTGCTGGTCGTTGACGACTTCATGCGCTACACCAGCGTGTTTCTCTTGCAGCACAAGGGAGACGTCCGTGTTGTTTTGATATTTGGGATCCGCGCTGTTCGTCGCCAGCTGAGCGCACGGTTCTGCCAGGACCTCCCAGTGCTCCGTCTGCACTCTGACTATGGAGGTGAGTTTTCCTCTCGTCTCCTTGAGGACTTTTGTCATGAGGAGGGCATGACCCAGCCGTTCATGCTTCCGGCCTCTCCATAGCAGAATAGGATCGCTGAGCGCCGCATTGGCTTGATCATGGAGGTTGCTCACACCTCCATGATCCATGCGGTTGCTCCCCATTTTCTGTGGCCATTTGCGGTCCGATACGCCGCGCATCAGCCCAACCTCTGGCCCCGTGTCTCCCAGTCGGAGACCTCGCCTACCCTGCTTTGGACCCGGGAGGTTGGCGATGCGTCGACGTTTCGGGTCTGGGGTTCGCTTGCCCTTGTCCGAGATTCTTCCGCGGGCAAGCTCTCCCCTCGCACCATTCGCTGCATCTTCCTTGGCTTTCCTGATGACGCGCCTGACTGGCAGTTTTACCACCCGGTTACGTGCCGCGTACTGTCCTCCCGCGACGTCACCTTTGACGAGTCGGTATACTACTACCGTCTCTTCCCCCACCGTATTTCCCCGGTGCCCCCCCCACCCCTCTTCCTAGTTCCAAGTTCCCCCCCTGGTACACCCCCTCACACCCCCTTCGCGTCTTGCTCCCTCATGTGTGTCTCATGTCGCGCCACCCCCGTTGGTTGAGCCTGTGGAGGTCTCCTCAGACCCGGCTGGACAGGCTGAGGGGGGTGACCCTGCTGCTGACGACAGGACGGTCTCTCGCCGTTCTCCGCGCTTGGAGGCTCCTCCTGGTTTTCCGCCTCGGTCGGCTTCGCTGTCTCTGCAGCCTGTCGATGTGGACTCTGGTGGTTGGGGGTGGTGACGCTGGAGGTGCGGGCTCAGAGGGTGCTGGTCCTGGGGGTGGTGACTCTGGAGGTGCGGGCTTTGGGGGTGCTGCTTCTGGGGGTGCTGGTTCTGGGGCTGCTGAGCGTTCTAATGGTGGTGGAGCCGAGGGTACTACTGCTATTGGCACTACGGATGCGTTGCACCCAATGCCGCGTCGGCCCTTGTTCTGGGAGCAGCAGCGGTCTTCGCTACCGCTTCCTGGGTCCGTTGATGGAGGTTATGAGGGTGCTGGAGATGGAGGTGCGGGTGGTGCTGGAGCTCGAGGTGCTGGTAGTTCTGGTGCTGAAAGTGCTGGAGCTGGAGGTGCTGGTGGTTCTGGTGCTGGGAATGCTGGAGCTGGAGGTGCTAGTGGTTCTGGTGCTGGAGGTGCTGGAGCTGCAGGTGCTAGTGGTTTTGGTGCTTGAGGTTCTCGTGCTGGAGGTGCTGGAGCTGGAGGTGCTTGAGGTTCTGGTACTGGAGGTGGTGGAGCTGGAGGTGCTGGTAATTCTGGTGCTGGAGGTGCTGGAGGTGCTGGAGCTGGAGGTGCTGGTGGTTCTGGTGCTGGAGGTGCTAGAGTTGGAGGTGCTGGTGGTTCTGGTGCTGGAGGTTCTGGAGCTGGAGGTTCTGGGGGTGCTGCGCAGCCGCGTCGACCGTTCTTCTGGGAGGAGCCGCAGTCGTCGCTGCCACCACCTGGCTCGGCACTTCACCAGGTTCTTCGTCTTCCGTCTGACTCTGCAGAGCCGTCTGCCACTGGTCCTACTCTTTCTCTGCTGCTTCCGCCTCCTGGCGTCTCAGACACAGTTACCACCTGACTCCCCACTGCCTGTTCCTTCTTGTTACCCTCCGTTGACAGACTCCCTGACTGAGCGTAGAGAGTCTACGTCTCGTCCTGCCTCGCCTGTTGCTAGTACTCGTCATGCTCGCCGTGTTCGTCCTCCACCTGTCCCAGGC